GGAAGTGGGGGTGGCATACAGTCAGGAGAGGTAAAGACAGGTGAATGTGTGGGTCAAAGAAGTCTGGAAAGGCAGGACTACTGGGGCAAGTGGGGTGGGGTTCTGTGGGTCTGGCCTGGACAGAGCCAGCTGGGATGGGACTGGATCATAGGAAACTTCCTAGAAGGGTTGCTACGTGAACAGGTAGTATAGGGTCAGGACTAGGCCTCCTGGGAGCAAACCTGAGGGTATAAATTATCTGACTGGGTGGGAATAACCTGGGAACAGAACTGTCAGTGTTGTCCCTGCAAGTCTTGTAGAGAGAGCAGGACTCCAGACCTGGACAGGGCCAAACTCGAGACAGGCTGCGCCTCAATGAGACCCAAGTTGGGGCGTAGGGGGATGAGGATTGGAATGAGGGCTAACCTTATTTGGGACTGCGTGGAATGGAGCTGCACCAGGTAAGGCTGAAGGAGGTGAGTTCAAAAGTTAGGAGGTAGGGCTTCTCAGGGAGGAACTGAGTAAAAGTAAGACAGAGTGGCAGGACCGGAGTCAGGGTGGGGCCTAACAGGGATGTGACTGCCTCCAAGAGCAGCTGAGAAGAACCCAGCTATAACTTCAGGGTACCAGGCTTGGGAGAGGACTCCAGAGCCAGACCTCAGAAAGAAGTCAAGTTAAGCAGGGCTAAGCCTGGCCAATCTAAGGAGGAGAGCAATGTTAGGTCAACAGTGGCATGGCCAAATGGAGGGGTGGGGCCAGGAAACACCAAGGTAAGTAGGAGGGGGTTGAAGTGGATGGGGTCAGACATGGCCAGAGCCAGGCTGAGACCATCCAGTCCCTTGTCCTACCTCATTCAGGGCCTGTCTGTCAGCTTTAGGCAGGTTCTTGGACTGGTTGTCTGCCATGGCCCATTCACGCATCACCTGGGGGTGGGATGGAGCTTTAGGATCCCAGAATCCACTCTGATATAACTGGTAAGTCTCCCAACCCCTTGTCAAGACTTTGGAGGATCTAGAACCCTTAAGTCCCACTAGCTCTTGCATTCCCAAGAGGAAAGACCCAGGGGGAGTCGAAAGTGGAAGTGTACCGTGGGCCAGAGTTTCCAGGGAATCTGATGGCATCTCATTGGGATTCTAGGTGGCTTAGGGACTTCTGGTCATCTTAGGGGGTGGTGTTAAGGGCTCAGGGTTGAAGGGCTTGAGCATCCCTGAGAGGATGAGTGTCAATGGGTTCCTCAGGAGATTTCTGGCATTTTAGGGATCTGTGTGACAGATATGGTGAGTTCCTGGGGTCCCCAGTATCCACCTCATTAATCTGGCGCATCCTACGCTCCTCCAGGTCCATCTTGGCCCTCAGGAACCCCTCATGTTCACTGATTTCCCCAGGCATGCCGAAGTAAACATCTACACCGTCCGTGGGCCTCGGGGTCGGAGTGACTGCAAGACCATCAGGGACCGGGAGGTCGGCTTGCAGCACACCTCCTGGTCACCTTTCCTACCTGAAGAACTGCATTTCCTAGAGTGCACTGGAGACCATCATGCATCCAGTTTAGCTATCACTGTTGCCTAACATCATGGGAGATGTAATTCTGGACCTGGCCTGTTCCTGGAAAGCTTGTAAATCCATTTCACTATTTCCCAAGCTTTCCTCAAATTACCCTTAGGGCCTACCAAATGGGCCTTCCACTTCCAAGGATCCCTAAACTACCTTGTCCCTTTGCATTCTTCACAAGCTAACCCTTCCACCTCTACTTCTTCCAAAGCTACTCCTATCTCTTCCATTCCCCCTACCTGGGCCTCTCCTCCACAGGTCCCTCCCCAAACAGCAAGGCTCCCCCAAATCACGCTTTCTCCAGTGGTAGAGAGGACTAGACTGCCTTACCTTTGCTGATCACAGCAGAAGTATGGGAGCTTGGGAGTGGGACTCTTTCTTCCTCTTCCTCTTCAGCCTGGGGGGGCTCCACAAAGTAATCATCTACTGGCTGTAGGAAGGATTCCTCCCCTTCCTCATCTTCACCCCCCTCTGCTCTGCCCCCCAGGGGCCAAGACCTTGTGGACGGGTCACTGAAGGAGCAGGAGAAGACCCAGGCAGTAAGGTCCTGAGTGTAAGCCCCCAGGTTTCCATCTTCTGCTCTTGGAGCGTTAGGAGGGCCACTCACCCAACTGCTGTCCCAGATGGGTTGGAGGTCACTGGAGGGGGACAGCATACATATTCCACACCTCGGAACCGATCCTCCCCACAGGGCAAAAGCATGCCTGAGCCATGCAGAATGAGGCCCTGGGAGCTGCAGGCCTGTGGGAAGAGTGGGCCCAGATGCCAGGACTGTGGAGTAGGAGGGTGTAGACTGGAAGCCTGGATGCCTGGGTCTTGGGGGCTGATAAGACTGGGAGCCTGGATTCCTGGTTCTGGAGGAAAGGGTTGGAGGATGGAATTCCCAGATCCCATTGGGAACAGGGGGCTATAACAAGACTCTTAGATTCTGGTGAAGGAGGGTGTTAGGGCCTTGGACTCCTGGGCTCTAGTGGGGCAGGCATACATGGGCCAGGGACCTGACCTCCTGTGCCTCCTGATGCCTCCGAGTTAAACTCTCACACTGGTCCATGCGTTCTTGGTGCAAGAACCTGCAGCCTTCTGGCACCAGTAGGGCTTCGCTCACAAATTCACCAGCTGAGGAATGGGGGACACTAGGATGAGACTCTCCCACAGCCACCAGCTCCACCCTTGTCAGAATCCAGATATCTTATCCTCAGAGGCTTCATGGCTCCACTTTGGACCCAGGCACCCAGCCCCCTAATGAGGGTCAGAGACAGGGCTCAGAAATGTCTCTCAGAGAGTCCCACCTCCCTTCCCCTCTCCCAGCCTGTGACTCACGCAGGCAGCGGAAGGGCACAACCTGGTGGTGGAGGTGGGCACAGCGGCCACTCCGGGCACCCCCACACCAGTGTTCCATGGGGATTGCTGGTGCGGCCTGCTCCACACGTGTAATGTGCAGCTCTGGATACATCTGGGGGCACCAAGGAGGGACAATCAACCCACTGCCCGGCCCCTGCCAGCCATCCCTCTCTCTGGTCATGTCCCTTTTCAAGGCTCTGCTCTCCACCCTTGTATTGGGGATCGAACCCATGGCCTTCACACTGAGATACATGCCCAGCTCTTCTTTTATTTATGTATTTACTTTTTAAATTTTGAGACAGGGTCTTGCTAAGTTGCTAAATTGCCCAGTTTGGCCTCAAACTTGTGATCCTCCTTCCTCAGTCTCCCACAGCGCTGGGTTTGCAGGCATGGACCACTGCACCTGGCTCAAGATGCTAGCATACATAAGGACATCTCCCTAGACCCTGCTTCTCCCTAGAACACATCTGAGATAGCTTCAGTCCCTCGTGCTCGTTGGCCACATCCCTCCTGCTCTCCTTAGATGCCACTTCTTTTCCTGTCCAATTGCTTCATGAAGGTCCCTTCGTCTGTCTGCAAATCAATCTCTGTAAACCCATTTCTCTGGTCACCCCTCCTCCAGAATCAGGTTCTTCTCTCCTTAGATCGTCTCCTCCTCCAAGACTCGTCCCCTTTGGTTTGGCCTCTCTGTAAGTATTCCCTTTTTGTTAGACTCGCCTTCTCACAGCCACGCCTCCTGGCTATCCGCTTGCTCGTTTGACTTCACTGCTTTCCCCCATCTTGCTGTCCTATAGGTCTCTTAATCTTAGCCCCGCCTTCCCACTGGCCACGCCCACCTATGCCCTCATACAGAGCCCACCAGATTTCTAAACCCCGTCTGTTCCCTGGCCATCCTCCTGAGAAGAGATATTTGCGCAGCTCTCCCTTCTTCAGATTTAAATTTCTCAAAACAGGTCCTGTCCTCACCTCTTCACTGGCCACATCCCCTAGCTCCCTTTGCCGCCTTAGATCCCGCATCTCCCGGTACCCTGCCTTTTGAGAGTATAGCTTCTCAGAGGCGGCCTTCCCCATCTGGGACCCGCTCTCCGCTGACCACGCCCCTCCCGTAGTCCCCGCCCACCTGTCTGCAGTACTCCAGCACGCGCTGCGGGTCCCGGAGACAGCGTTGTGAGCGCTGTGGGTCTGGTTCCCAGCGGCCGGTGCGCAGGTCCCGGTGAAGGGTTGGAAGCCCACATAGTCCTGCCACCTGGGCCGACCCTGGAGCCTAGCAGTGGTGCCAGGAAGGGCAGTGAGGGCCCGGGGAACGTTGGCATATGTATTCCCTGGTCCGAGATATTCAGACCCCCAGCTCCGGTCCCCTCCCCCAATCACTCCGCACCGGCCTCTTGGAAACACCATTCCCTGTGAAACAGCTCCGGCAGGGCGGGGGCGACTCTGCTC